TGAATCCATCTCTTGGGGGTTTTCCTCCTTGCTCTGGCATGGCTCATCAATCTGTAGCCTGCTCTTCCCACCATACCACAGGGGCCTGCATTTCACTTCAGGTTCTACATAGAAGGGCACACATAGCCTACCTGCCATTGGGAGAGCATCAGGAGGCAGAGTACCTCCCCCAGCCTAGAAGGTTGCTAAGGAAAAGACAAAATTAGATCTATACTTTAAACCATTCACCAAAATAAATGTTAAGTGGATCATAGAACTAAATGTAAAAATTCCTAATAGTAGTAGCTTTTTGATGTATTCAAACAGATTTTATATTTTCTATAACTTTGTAGTTTGTTTTTAGATGAGGATTTTTTTCATAATTTCTAGCTCCCCTTATTGTTAAAGATATTTTTTTCACCTATTTGTRTATGTGTATGTTCCCAACATTTTTGTTAAATACCTCATCTAAGGCTGTAATTATTCCTATTTTGAGTTTTTTCTTCTTACCTTAGGTTGTGAGAAGTGTGATATTTCATCATCTACATAGCAGATGCCATTTTCTTCCTCAATTCCCTGGTCTCTAAAAGTTTTGGTTTTGTATTTCTCCATCTAGTTTATTTAACCCCTCCTCTGTCATGATGAAGACTTTTAAAATTTGGAAATGAAAGACTGTCACTGTTCACTCTTCTGAAATAGTGGATCAATGGGAGGAGCTCCTTGGGAATTTTGCATACAATGGGGCCTATCAATTGTGAGGACTAAATAGTTTTAGGGTGGCCAGAGGATCAGGCATTTCCTGGGGTTGAGGGTTATGGGTGTGCTGTGGCACCATCTAGAATGGATCTCAAGAGCAAGAAAAAGGGAACCTCCAGAACCACACTTGCCTCTTTACAGCTTCTGCCAAGTTCACATTTCCTTGGTGCCAAATAAGTCCCATGGCTGTACCTCAGTTTCTCATGGGTATGTGCTGTTCATCTGGAAGAGGTGCCATATTTGGGTAAGCAATATACAATCTAAAACAGTAGGTAGGTCTTTGGAGAGAAGGTGTTAGCTTTATGGCCTGGGGTGGAGTGGGTAATACACACCTGCAGGTATGCTGGCTATATTCCAAAGGGAAGAAATTAAGTATTTTACCTGCCGCAGGAACAGTAGCAGACTACCATTCAGCAGGCAAGGAGCGATCTCCTGTGATTTGTTCAGTGAAATAAGAAAGCATCATTCTATTAACTGAGGGGAAGGATAAAGTCCTAAAACTGTATTTTCAAAAATCAAATTATTCTTTTTTGAATGTGAATTAAAAAGCAATGTTCCTTCTCATTCTTTCAGAAAAAAAAAAAAAAAAACACAAAAAAACAGCTTCTGCAGTGAGTCTATGCCTGGGTAACAAAAATACAAGAGGATCCCTCTCTGCCCCTGAAGCTTGCTGAACCATTGGTATCAAGACCAGCATGGCCCTCAGGATACAGAATGAATACCTTTCCTGTTTCTGCTCCTGAGAATAATGCAGGCAGTTTCTGGCAGGATGGTTTCTCTACAGGAAAGAACTTGTGAAGTAGAAAAAACATTTGGTAACTGCACTTGGAAGGGTCTGAGTGTCATCCTTTGCTGATTTTGCTTTTTTTAAAATATATATTTATTTTTTACTTKTAAGTGGACACAATGCCTTTATTTTATTTTTATGTGGTGCTGAGGATTGAACCCAGTGAGTGCCTCAAGTGAACTGGGTGAACACTCTACTACTGAGCCACAACCCCAGCCCTACCTTTTCTTTTTATACATTAAAATTGTAATGCATCTTCATTACAAAAATGAYTCAAATACATAAAGTAAGTAAGGCATGAGTGGATTCCTGAACAGGGGCAGGGGAAGTACTGTGTACTGAGTTGACTCCAAGCAGGGGGGCTGCTTGGATTTGGCCTTCAGAGCAGTTATCTGACAGCCTAGTCCACTTCTGTACTGGGCCCAGCAAGTGTTCAGCTTCAGACCTGCCCACCACTTGGCATTTCTGCTCCATTGCTCATCCACAGAAACACTCAACTTGTTTCTTAGTCAGATGGTAGTTTTGTTTTTGCACTCTGTATACCACTGCTCTGTGGCTCAGAGCAGATCTGTTGCTCCACTGTCTGGCTTCCTGTCTTCTCCCCACCCCCCCATTTCTTCCCATGCAGGCCTGGCCCCCATCACCACACCACTTCCCCTTGCCTCTTGCTGTAACCTTGCTCCTCCCTCACCCCTTCTTGAAGTTCTTCTGGACGCCCAGGTGTGCTATGCACTTGCATCCTCTCTCCTGCACTACATTCCCACAAGCCCTCAGTCTTTCACAACCTCACACACATCCATTCCCACGGAGACCTTTTCTGTTCTTGTCCATTCATGCAGGGGCCATGACTCTGGCCATGCACCAACAGCAACAGCTTTGCCACACACTCACCCTCTATGGAACAAAAATCTCCCACAGCCAAACAGTGGACAAAACAATGACTTTTTTTTTTTTTGGTACCAGGGATTGARCACAGGAGCACTGAGTCACATCCCCAGTCCTACAATGACTTGTTTCTAAGATGAGTTCTCACTATGTTGCTCAGGCTGATCCCTGGAAGGGGATCAATCCTCCTGCCTTAGCCTTCAGAATAGCTGGGACTGCAACTCACACCACATGTCTGCCTAAGTTTATTTTTTGCATCCTGGGGATGGAACTGTGGGCTTTGCATATGCTAAGCAAGCACTCTACCACTAAGCTACTTTTTAAACTTTTTTGAGACAGGGTCTTGCTAAATTGCCCAGCTTGGCCTTAACATGTAATCCTCCTGCCTTAGCTTCCTGAATAGCTGGGATTACAAGCTTGTGGCCACTGTGCCTGGCCCAGCTAATGACATTTTAAGGTCAACAAGAACTAAAAAAAAAATGTATTGCTTAACAATTGTCTCTACAGGAAATATGAGTAAATTTTTTATAGTATGAAGAAAATTTTTCTAGTCATGACATAAAATCCAAATTTCTTAAAAAATGGAATCTTGGGGCTGGGGATGTGGCTCAAGCGGTAGCACGCTCGTCTGGCATGCGTGCAGCCCGGGTTCAATCCTCAGCACCACATACAAACAAAGATGTTGTGTCCGCCGAGAACTAAGAAATAAATATTAAAAATTCTCTCTCTCTCTCTCTCCTCTCTCACTAAAAAAAAAAAAAATGGAATCTTAACATTGAAATTTTACTTTTGGACTGGGCATAGCTCAGTGGTAGAGCACTTGCCTAGCATGTACAGTGGGTTCCATCCCTACCCACTTAAAATTAAACGTTTGTGTGGCATGTTCAAAAAAATGAACTTGTAAAGAAACACTAAGAAGGGGATGGGACTGTAACTCAGTGGTAGAGCACTTGCTTATCATGTGTGAGGCACTGGGTTCGATTCTCAGCAACACATAAACAAAACAACACTAAGAAAACATCCATCACTTAAGACAAAGTCTAATTTCCCCAGCATGAACAGGGAGCTAAAACCCACTAAGGACTTATACCCCAATAGTAAAACAAGAATGAGCAGCTTACAAAAAGAGAAAATAAAATTATCCAATAAACTATAAATTTGCCAAGGCTCAGTAAATTAAAAAAAAAAAAATAGCAATGACATTTTGCTACTCAGACTGGCATTTTAAAAATAAAGTTGGCAAGCAGGTAAGAATAAATAAGTATTTTGTATTATTGTAATAACAAATAGGAAAAAGCTTTTTGGCAGGAATAACTGGCAATGTATTAGGAATTTAAATATTTCCATTCTTTGACCCAGCAGTTCTTCTTCCAGGAATATATCCTAGAGCAATTCTTACCAGTGCTTCAAGACAAGGACAAAGTATTCACTGTGGCACTGTGGGTAACCCTGCATGCTGGAAACTTCTAGTGCCTATCATTGGAGCCACCAGGATATAAATGCCAGGACTGCTTACACGCTGGAGTGATGCCATTTTCCAGAGTGAAGTAGATGTATGCTGGATGGGTCAACATGTCTAAGACATGGTGACCAGTAAAAAAGCAGACTGCATAATTGCACAAAGAGCACAATMATACTTCTGCAAAAGAAAGTTGGGTTGCTTTTGCATAGAAAGCAATATGACCCCCTACTGAAGGGCAGGGAGCACTTTCACATTATATATAGATGCACATATTTTTAATGAGCATATATTAGTCTAATAAGCAGAAAAATACAAATAACAAATCATGATTAGTAAAGCCTTTCTCATAATTACTTTGAAATTTCTTATAATGAATGATGCATATAATTTATCTGTCCTTATTCATACATATAATGTATGAATTAAGTACCCMAAAAAGTCCACTATTATGGATAACAGCATAATTAGAGTTCCACTTGGTCACAACTTCCTTTCCAAACTCTGCTCAGCTCCAGGCACCGCATGACACCCCATGGATAAGAACTGGCTAACTGGGCCAAGTCTCCTGGTGGCCACAACCAGGACCCACAGTATTTGGAGAAATGGAAAGGGGAAAGCAGGCCCAGATATCCTCAAAGAATTTGACCACTYGTGCCAAAACAATCTCTCTCACTGACTTCCATGCGTCTTCCCAAATCTCAAGTTCATAAAAGGAGCCATGGTGTTCATCAGGGAGGAATAGGGAAGCTTCCAATGAAGACAGACAGCAAAGGTAAAGCAACCAGCAGGATGATACTTGAGGGTAGGAGAAACATTCACAACAAGCACAGGAGAGGGGCAGTGCAGAAGCCTCCGGCTTCACTCTACCCATGGTGTGGGACAACACTCATGTCTTGCCCTGCCTCTCCCGAGGACATCTACCTGTCATTTCTTCAGGGCTGTAGGCTGGTCCTAAGCCCCCCACCAGAAAGACAGTAGGTAGGGAGGCCCTGGATAAGTGATTACCATCAGCAACCAGATTACTATAAAGATAGAGAAAATCATATTTTAAAAGGGGGGAATTTAGGACTATTTCCAAAATGCAAAATTTCAATTGTCTCCCATTATTTGCACACATTTTTGTCAAGTCCAAACATAATTTAAAATGAGGTAGGTAGCTTCTCTCCTCATGCCTTTGTCTTTGTGGTGACAGTTGAGGCCTGTGCCATGAAAGCACTCATCTCCTGGGCAGGGGCAGCCCAGAGGGCGGGCACCAGTGGCTGGTAGAGCTTCTCAGTTGGCTATTTTCTCAATCTCGTCCAAATCATCTGTGTCCAATCTTTCTAT